AATCTATAACACGCTTGATTGGCTCTACAAAGTTGGCACGCACTTCGCTAGTCATACCTGAGTTGGGCACACGTTGTACTAGACTGGTGAATTCACAACGCCGTTTTGGGCACTCCTTTGCAGACTTCTCATTGCACAATGTCTCGTCACTGCCAAGAAATACACGCTTGGTTGGTGCTGTCTTCTCATTCCAATTCCAGAATGTTATATTGTCTTTTCGTGCTACACTTGCCATCACCTCTTGTGGTGTGTAATGGACATAATCCAGGCGTGAAGTTGTCGCTGCAGGATCGAGCAATTTCGAATAGCCGGATTTGGCGCGATTAACTACCAAGCTTGAAGCGGCTACAGGAGATGGCAGTGGTATGGGTGAAGGCGTAGGTGGGTCAGGCGGTGCTCGAGGCTTCCAAAGGTAGTCCTGACGCATCACACTACTGGCTGGACGCATTGGACGACTTATGAAACGTAAACGACAATCTTCAAAGCTTTTCATCGATTGCACTTTTGGACCAAGCGATGGATTTATAATGTTATTTGGATCGGCATACTGTAATGAATAAGTAATGAGATAAATTGGTCTGTTGTTTAAAAACTGCATTTATTTTCACCTTCCATGTGTAATTGGCTTTGTAATCGCTGGTGCGCATTTCCTCTAAGGTTGGATCCAGTCTATATGGTTTCGATTCTTTGATTTTCGCATGCGTATGATTTCCTATCATTGTGTCAGTCATGTAAACATGACTGCGATAAGTTGAGGTACGCATATCGTCCTTACACATGATTCAATAATGAAAGGTTTTGTAAGAAAAACTTTCTCTCGCTCTAATTTTATCAATGACACTCCCACCATACTCCTAAAAACAAAAACAGTGATATTTCTTTTCCAAATATCTTTGCAAGTTTTAAGAACATTTTTAAATTGTTAGTAGTGAAATTTTTACTTTTTAAATTTGAAGAAATGTTTGTTCTTCATTGGCTGGCGCCAACAAGACAAAATGGGTGAGCATCGTTGGACTACAGAAATTCAATGTAGGCTAAAGAGACGAAATTCTCTTAAATGCCGAAATATATTTGTCGATATTCGTGGAGACCTCTTGATTCTGCCAAGTCGCTGTAAAGTAAAGCATGCAATGGTTTTGGTAAATGAGCCAACGAAGGTATTTAGGTATTGTCCTCCACAACACACTCCTGGTGTCTCCGAATGAGGCTTTGACGCAATATAATATTGCCAAACCTCATCCATAGGCCCAATCGTCACACGACAGCTCGGTTTAGTCAATGGCGCGATGTATGTAATTGCATACTTAAAAGGTTTACGCACGAGGCGAATGTTGGCTGGCGACCAACTTTGTTGAAAGCGATTAGTTGAAAGTAGAATGCAAAGTTGAACAATGCAAACGCCTTTTTATGGCGAATATTTTTATATTTTTTTATATTTTGATATTTTTAATCATTCAAATTTTCGGGCAACCCGGCGAATGGTTAATATTCTGACAGTTGTATAGTCTCCCCAGAATATTGAAAGTGCGACATCAAAGAATTCGAATTACCATATTCGAAACAATCGAGCCATATCCGCGAAGGAAACGTAAGCTCCAAATTTTTTTATTTGCCGTTTTTTTTGTTTAATAAATACTGCATATTTTCCACAAACAAATAGCTTCTTCATATCCATCATCTGTCAAACAAATAAAACAAAAAAAAAAAGCTGAAAGTGGACCATCCATTCTCGAGTTATGCGCCATCTGACGTACGCAAGTTTGGTATATACATAGAAATATTTATTTTCAATAACAATCGGGGGTTATATTCGATGTAAATAAGCTTGTTTAAATTAAATAATTAAATCAAATTCGTTTTTGTTTTAAAATACCACCATTCACTATTATCCACACCTTTTTATGGAATTTAGCTCCCATTTTAGGAAGTGTGATTGAATTCTTCCCCTTTTTCTTCTGCTTCTAAAAACCATCCCTGTGGGTGGGAGTGCCAAATTTTAGAAAAAAGCTACTTACAAAACCTTTAATAATTGAATCATGGTCCTTACACATGACTCCGTCATGTTGTGACGACTCGGGGTCACCACTAATTTTTGATGGCGAAATTTTTGTAAGTTATATCAATCATCTTATAGTATTTTCGGGTAAAAATTAGACCCCAAAGCGGTTTTGGAAGTTTGACTATAATTATAGGACATTGTGTTTAATAAACTAAATTACCATTTATTGCATAAGTGCTACGTAATATATACTACTTTCGCAAATTTAGCTTATCATAATATACCGTTTGTTACTATTTATATGCAAAATTTGATATGAAAGAGTACCAAATTTCGTACTACTTCGCAAAGCGTCCTTTTTTTCTTCCCGTTTCTCTCGTTCTTCCATATTACAACCTTTTGTAAGGGAGCCGTCGACATGAGCTGTCACTACGTACAACACCTTGTATAATTCCACCATGGACTTTTGTAGGTTTGACGTCAAATTGGCTTCTACCTGTTTTATTGTACCATGGCTACACACTATAATTAAGATTAGTAGGTCAACATGAGGCATTAACCGCATCGAAATCAATAAAATGTCCGCTACATTAAGTTATACTCTTTGAGTATTTATTAATTTTTCGATTATTGAGAAATCTATTGCTGAGTAAATCTTGAAGCTGTAAAGTAAGAGACGTTCAAATCCATAATATAAGGTAAATATTTTTATTCTTAATTAAATAATTTAAGCACTTTGGAATGCTTTTCGAATACCATGAGTTTTTGAATAATTTTATCTTAGACTGTTTTCTCCTCTTACTTCGTCGTATAAAATCAATGCGCTTAGAGCTGATCAATACAATTTTTAGAAATACTTTAACAGTATGAATTATCTACCTTTATATATTTTATATATGTAAGTATAAATTGATATTAGCGTGGCAAAAACATATTTTCGATATAGTATATGTACGAAAAAAATGAACGTAGATCTTGAGAAGATTAATAACAAGTATGTATGTACGCAATTCAGGCGATTTCTTTCAATGCCAAGAGCGATTGACGGAGGTATTCATATTGAGTACGTGCATGTTTGATTTCCAGTTCAGCAAGTTCAACCAACCTTTAAGGCAAAATATTTAATTAATGTCTTGCTTATATAGTTTGTTAAATGCAAATATTATACCCTTTTTTGAAGGCAGCTACACGGCGATTACGAAATCCTACTAATTCTTCTTTTCCACAGGCAGACATGGATTCGAATTTCTCGCATGCTTCTGCTTGCGCTGTCTCGGCCTATTGTTTGGAGAATGTTGAAACATAATAATATTTAAATTTTACATTTTACTTAAAAAAAAATACTTTTACAAGCAATATTATTTTGACTGTTTCAAACTGCATGCGGGGTGTTAATAATTAAATTAAACAAAGGACATAATTTATGAGTATCTTTGTGCTCTTATAGTGCAGTTTACAGTAGATTGGTGAAGTTGTGGATAATAGGTAACATAACAAACACATAAAACCGTTAAGAGATACATATATATGGATAAACTACATACATACATACATATATGCTGAGTAAACAAATATTACACCAAGTACCTCTTGAACATCCAAAGGCTGCACATGAATTCGTTGAAAGTAGTTTGATTGGTTTTTTTGTATAGATTGCATTTTAAAAAGTGTGGATAGAAAATTTTTAATTTTAAAACTAGTACAAAAAAGTTGTAAATATTTTTAGACAGTGGGTGTTGAAAGCAAAAATATGGTATACATGTATGTAAAACTTTAAGTAAACAGTGAGGAATACTAAACAAATTTTGCACACTATTACAAAATTGCAGTATGAAGGCATTTGAATAGGTCAAAAAAAATTATAATTTAATACAATTTAAGTAACATTTCTTACAGCATGTACGTCCTTGTTTTTGGCACGCGCCTTCTCTAAATTACGATTGGCCGCCTCATACGCGGCCAGGCAGCGTAAACGGCGTATTAATAGTGCTTTGGCTGCATCGCTATCCCGCTGATAGTAACGCAAAGTATCCCCGAGCTTCAAGTCCTGATCGCTAGAGACGCGTGCTTCTAAATTCTGTACATTTGCCAGCCATTATAAGGTGATATTAAGTTCTTAATAGTTAACAGCAAGTATGTAGTTACTACCTTTATCTTCTCAAAGATCTCTGCTGATTTGGCACAAAAGGTCTCCATGCTCCCTTTCTCTGCTGTCGATAGTTGCATGAGGGCATTCGAAATTTTCTGATGACATTCGCTGACTTCCTTATGGCGTTGAGTCATTTTCTCAGTACGCACTGCGGCGTCACGTAAATGTCCATGATATTCAATGAGAAATTGTAGCTCATTTTCGAAAAAGTCATTTACATCCCGAACTGTTGCGCTCATTAATATTTCATCCGTTGTCTTGCCCAACGATTTAACAAATCCACCGAAAATAGCCATTTTCTTGCGTGGCTTTGCACAGAGATCTTGGTCGTATTCGAGAAACACTTTCAAATGCTGATCTACACGGAAAACTGGGTGATTTGCGAGCCGACGCAAGAATACTTCATGCATTGCTACGGTTTTCTTAAAAGTAGCCAGGTATTCGCTAAGGTATACATACACATTTTTATGAAAAAATGATACATAAAATAAAACGCTTGTACTCACGCTTCGAGTTCAGATTTCATTTTCTTAAACTCCTCTTTAGTCATGTTTCCCTCGCCCTCACCGAGTCGTTGCAATTTTTCGCGTGAGGCATCAAAATCTGGGCGTGGCGGACATGGCGGTATCTGTGAAAGTCATAGTTGATTTTAGTGTTTTAATAAACTTTAATTTATTTTTCTTTTCAAATATGTACATATTATGAACTTACGATATAGCCAGCATATTCCTCATTCTCTTCGAAGCGGTCATGCAACCAAACAAATTCTTCATGCTGACGTACCACATTATTATCCTGTTTAGCAAAACCGGGCAAAGTAGTGCGAGTGTGAACCGTAAACTTAACTTTGTCCTTTTCGCTCAGTGCGTCGGAAATCTCCACATGCAACGTGTTCTCCGCTAAAGCGGCAGGAGTAATAGCTGATGACGAAGATTCTGAAGTGGCTGTACCACTGCCATTATTTGTGGTCGTTGTTAAGGGGTTACCAACGTCATTTTCTCGCTGCACCGCTGGAGACGCAATCTCCATTATAGTGGGTTTACTGGTCGGAGTGATGATGTCGACCCCTAAAGGCACACTTTGTTGCAAATTTTCAATTGCCGTTGAGTCATCCGTGCCGTCCTAATAATGGAATATTGGAGAAAAAATTGTTAATTAATTTAGTTTTTAAGGAAGTAGAAAGTGCATATGTGTGTATATAAATAGTATGTATACGGCAAGCTGCTAAAACTCTGAATTGCGAGATATCACATATTTTAGTCACTATTGCAGCATTGACGCCTATTTTATTTGTGTACTTATTTTAAAATTTTACAAAAGGAACTGATAAACGACGATAAGCGGCACAATCGCTAAAAAGGGAGGAACTGGGTCGCCGGATGACTTTGACTCATTCGAACCGCCGATATCAAAGAAAAGCTAATTACAAGGCATCAAAGCCGAATACAAAATAAATAAAAGCTGGTTAATAGGAAAACTTCAACTTGATTGGCTATTAACAAATGGAATAACTTAATCCAGTAACAAACATTTTTCGCATAAAATATTCAACAGATTAAATAAACAGTATACATATGGCTTACCATCATCCTTACGGTGTTAGCTTAATTATATTTAATTATCAAATAAGGTAGAACAATTTTCATAGAATCTTTTCACGTTGCAACTTCCTGTATTCTATTTTTTTTTGTTTGGTTTATTTTTTGTTAAAAAATACTGGCGAAAGAGATGAGTAAAAGATTTGTTTGTGCTGCCTCCCTTTTGCTTTCGAAGATTGAAAATCAGCTGTGCGCCGGCACAGGGTAACTTTTTAATATCGAAAAATTGCGGCTAGAGAAAATTTTTAGTTCCTTCTGCAGTACAGTAAAACGTGGCAGAGCTGATTCGCCTTGCCTTATCTCTTCGGCATTGAAAAGGGTTGCAAATTCGCAGGGTGCACTTAATGATTTTTTTGTCATTCCATTATTCGAAAAAATTGTTTTTGATGATGCATTGCCGAACGTCCTTTTTTGCAGTTATTCGAAAAATTGTTTTTGATGACGCGTTTCCGAACATTTTTGCAATTAATTAGAAGTTTTTAAATTTTTAATTTTTCAAACTTATTTGGTATTTTGAGTTCGCAGTTTTTATAGTCATTAAACTTTTGTATAATTTAGTGAAAGGAAAGAAA